GGGCTTTCGCGGGCACTTTTGCTCAAGACTCAAACTGCCCGTGAAAATGCTGGATACGCAGGTGCACGCTTAAACGCTAATTATCCATACTTTCCCCTGTCGCTCGAAACGCTGCTGTACGCTGGCAAACGCTAGATCGATACCTACACTTTCCCAGCGCTGAGCTATCGAAAGGCTGCCGTACGCTGACGCAAAGTATGAACGCAGCCTGATGTTCTTCTTCAATGATTTCTTGTTAGGTGTGTTCCCTATGGGAGAAATACATATGACAGTTCAGGTCCAAAATCGCTGAATGAGAGCAAAAACGACACCTACTTCGAAGAAAACACGCAAGAATGTTTCTGGGCGTGGCGACTATGCTTTAAACTTTGGATTCTCTTTCAAAGGAGTACATATCAGATAAACGAATACCGCAACCTACCTAAGTTAGGAACTTAGCTAAAGAAAGGTATTTTTAGTCCAACCTGATTACTAGAGAGGAAGAACACGGGAGCGCGGAAGTTACTGTAGAATAAGCGGAAATAGTCTTACTGAAGCTTTCCACTTCTTCATCTCGAGTTTCTACTATGAAAAAAAAGAAAAAGATCAAACGGGCATTCACCTGCAAACCATCATTCTCCAAGAATTGGTTGGACTTGACCATATCCTGCGAAGTCAGCTTCGGCGTAGATTCCTTTTTGTCCGATGTTTCACAACTCGGGGCAATTGTAGGATGCGCAGGAATAGGAACCAGTGGCTACAAGTAGAAACTTTGATAAGAATCCAAAAATAATATTATCAACATCTTTGTAGAGTATAGAGAATAGAAACTAGCGTGAGAAGAGTTGTAATAGGTATCGATGTTTAATACTGGGTTAGCCCTGGGGTTTTGCAACAAACATGAAATTTCATTCAGTTTCACTTACCATACGGGTGATTAATGTCAGTTCCGCAAAATGTATCTTACTTAAGGTGCAGAGTTTTTTGATGCCATTCACCCAGAAAACCTAATTCAGTACAAAAGGCGAACCACTAGCTTCTCGGTTCACCAGCTGCGAATTCCATGACATGCAAGCCTTGCAACATGTGGGCACGCGTTGTCACGAAGTGGATAAACATTGGCGTGGTTCGGCACTTATGACATACTTCGCCGTACAACATCTGAGGAAGAAGAA